GGTCATACAATGGAAAATACAATGATTTCCTTCTAATGAGGGACCAACGCGCACTAAAACTTAACAGTTCGACATTTTAAGCGTGCGTCAAAATGAATGGAGGGGACACCCAAGTGATTCAAATGGCACAGCTTGAACGCCGTACCATCTTTTTTTCTGATGGTGAAATTGAATAAAATTGAATACCGCCCATTTAGTAGTGTTGAACGAGTCAATTTATAACATTTCAAAACACTCATCACGAGTTTAGTCTTAGATGATTTGTTTGGCATGCCATACTAAATAAATTCTTGTACCGTACACTTTTCTCGATTGGTTTCATCGTGATGGCTAAATACAACCAATTGTAACTTTCTATGGCCAAATGCCCCAGTCTGATTCGTTGTATACAAACATGTATAAATAATGGAATTAAGCTATTTGTACAATTCATGTTCGGCCATCTGATTTTAAAAAGAGTGATGCTACAAGAACATAATTGTCTACATAATTACAAGTGACGTTGATCAAAACCTTTAATTCAAATTTGAGACTTTCACATCAACGACAGGATGGTTGCCACATCACATTATGTCATTCATTATGTACACTTAGCATTTTCCTTTCAAAAATAGCTTTTAACAGTTTTGAACTGATTGAATATGATGCTATCAAATGTGAAGTTGTCAATCAAAATTGTACAAGTAGCATGATGCTAGGTAATGATTAACTAGTGTTGGTACCGCAATTGAACAGAAAAGTACAGATAGATACGCACAACAATGTACGTACTCATACAATTTTACAAATTTCAAGGAATAAAGATTTTTTGTTAGCCGTATCTAATGATTTGTAATGTCAATTTGCGCGAATGCATACCGAAAGCTGCAATTCCCACTCTCAGATTGGGCGGCGACAGCTTCTTCACAATCATCATTATATTATTTCTTTAATCCCCACTTATATTTCAAGCTTTGATTGAATTCTTTTGTATTTTCATTTTGTCAAACTATGGAAAGACTCTCGTGTCAACGAACAAGTCAAAATCTGGTGACCAAATGCATTTTACAGCCGCCCATTGTATTCAATATTCCATCTCTCCCTCCCTCAATTATTCTTCGAATAGATACTTCCGATGGTAATTGGGATCGACCTTGTCGTAATCACAAATGATCGTTCATTCTAAATGACATGCAAAATAAAACTTACCAAGACATAGTTTCAAATGAATACACCCTACTAAGAGACGCTTTAGTCAATAACTCGATTCGTTGAGGTCGTTACATGTACAAGAAAGATATTTGAACTGGTTTTATAAGTGAATAAAGAAATTTACCCCTTCAAACGTGATTCACTCGTTGATGTAGAAGTTACACAAGTAAAGAGATGTACGTTAAATTTTATTTTATTTCCTATTGATGAGATGTACGGAAGTTTTACCATTCAATGTGTCTGACTATAGTAAAATTGTGTTTTTTTCTTGCATATAACAATAGTTTAAAGTTGCAAAAAAATGATTTTTATTGTACGTTTCTTTTGAAAATAAATTGTTCGTGAATCGCTTGTCCCTATCACAAACAACTTGATTTCTTCATTTGCAGTGTTGAGGTCAAATTATACTAAAGAGAAACTTCCAGATGCAAGAAACTGAAGAACACGATTTCCCTCGAGCAAAATTATATATAAAAACTAACTTAAATCACTACTTCCACAAAATATTAAAGCAAATTTTTGAATGGATTGGGGCCACAATAATGCATGTAAACAAATGAATTTTAACTGAAACAAATGATTGATGTATTATACAAGCTTTAGCATCCAGCTATTGGAATATAAATGAATGGAAACGTAGGCCTTGTTTGAGCCATTTTTTTATAAAATCAGAATGAAAAATATAGCCGTTATTGGGGCCCACACAAGAAATTGAAAATTTGAATTTAAATGTTGATGTAATAGATAACGATTATATTTTTCATCTTAATGAGAAAATAAGGTGAACCAAACGGGAGCGTAATATTGATTAGAAGTTTAGTTAACAAACAATAGACCTCATTATCATGTGCCTAATGCCACTACGGTTATGCAACGGTATCTTACGGCATTATATTAAACAAATCCATATGGTTTGAGTCAAGAAAATATAAAATTGGGATAATATCTTACAGAGATCTTGAGATCCATGTTCACAATCACAGCTTCTTACCAGAAAGAAGAGGAAAAATAGAAAAAAGGGATAATAGAAGTAGGTAAGTCAAATTACAGAGAAAGGTAAACAAAACAAATACTACCAACTCCACTGCTCTTCACAATTCAAATATAGAAGACCACAAATGCCTCTTACTGTAAATCTTTTTAACTGGGTGGGGAGCGGGAAGCATGTTACAAGTCCCGGTTACATGGGAGCTTTTGTCACAACGCTTCTGTGTTCTTCTGATTATAAAATCCCAACCTGCACATGGCAGCAAGATTCAATTCAGATCAACCTGCAATTCTCCATGCTGATAATCATACATCAGATATAATCCTGAACACAAAGTTCTCTTATCCACAGCTTCCATTTTCGTTTTCATTTTGTATGGTGTGGACAATTATACTCCACCAAAATCAACATACTGATATGTCGGTCTATATGAAGTAAACATGTTGTCGTACTCTCAATAAGAATCATACTGACTATAGCTAGATCATTAGATTAGGATTTTAAAGCAATTACACGGAGTCTATCAAAATCTAAAGAAACTGAAACAGAGGTCAATACTTTGATTGCGTCTTGAATCTTTCCACCAGAAAGTTATCTGATAAAATGAATGTGTCAACTGGAAGAAGAATCAACCTTAAATGGTAATATTACATAGACAATAACACATCTCAATGAAAATCCATGTAATCTAATATAGTTTTTAATAGGCAACGACTCCATCCTACTGAGACAAAATTGTAGGCCCACATGACAATAAATTTATTTGCTCCACTTCTCTACATCTCCCATTCATTTGATTTGCACCCGAGGTATCAATTTTCCACACCCTGTGCGACTACAATCAAGACAAACATTCAAATGAGCCTCATTATCATACGGTATCCAAAATGAAGTATTCATGTAGGACTAGTTGGGGATCTATCAACTATAATTTCAAAATTTTACTCTTAATATGGCAGCATAATATGAGAAATTTCAGTGTTCATTAATTTTATGGCTGAGACTAGGAAAAGTTGGGTTTTAACTTTTACGATACATAATTGCAACCGAAACTTGGAGCTTCAGGAGGGAAATGGTAAAAATAAAAGGGTGCTGTTCTAGGCGTGTGAAACAATACCCCAGAAGATAACCACTCAGATAGTGAGGTTTCAAGGTGTCCAAGGGATTAGGAAAAGTCCAGGCATCAAAAAAAGAGTTAAAGAATTGAAATCACATGACATAACTGATAACACATGGCATCAAAAGCTCTGAAAGTAAACTAAACGACTAAATTGAAGAATGGCACAAGTAATTCTAAAGAGTACGATCCCTCCCATCCAACTAAGATGGACTCTGGGTTAGAACTAAAAAACTCAACCATATATAAGTGGAGGAAAACAAAAAGAAGGAATACCAAGCAAAAGCTTCTCCGACATTCCAAAAAGTTCACCAATTTACACAATTTTTAGGATAACAAAAATACTGTTAACTGTGAAACATCTTGAAAGTACACCAATGCTGAACTTAAGAATGACAGTATCAACTATATCATGATAAATACTATGAGAGGTACAAAATTTTGCTGGAAGAACTAAAAGACACTGTACGGAGAAAATACTTGCATGCATGTCGCTGATGACGTTACAAGTTAAAAAGGCATATTGCAAGGTGAGGCCACCAGCAAGTGAAGTAAAATTCAATGATAATTTTCAGCAGGAAAAAAAAATTATTACTTATGCGTCTTGAGAAACTTCACGTATGTTCTTTTCTCTTCTTCTTCAACTTCTTGATTCTATCATCTTTTTTCAAGGAAGGCATATCCCTACTGGCCATTAATTTGTCATCTGCTGTCTTTTGCTCCTTCTCATCTCTATCTTTCCTCTTCCTAGTAGTACTGCAGGGACATTTTAAATAATATAAACTTTCAGTTCAACATCGCAAAAATATGCTTATTCACAGAACATATACTTCCCATTTCTGAGTTGACTACAAATTAGATCGTGACCTGTCAGCTTGAGACCATTCTTCCAAATTTGTATCTAACCATCGCGCACATCCCGTATTGGCAGCAACCAAAGATCCAGAAACGTGGAGTATCTCTTCATCAAAGCTATAAGGACACAGAACATGATTGAAGTCAACAAAAGCAACATAACACAATGAACAACTTTCCAAGACAGACTTTTGCAAATCTTTTTATGGTATTCTACAATGTGCAGTCCTATGATTGAACAAAATCAACCAAATGCATAATGGTGCAGAGAATTCTACAAGCAATGCGCTTTTAAAGTCTAAAAATCACACAACATACATTTCTTAGAACATGCTCCTTGAAGGCTACAATTTACAATCTCAGCATCTATCTACTAACTTAGATGATGAAGCAGCATAAGATGGAAAATGCTCCAATGAAAAGATTAAGGTCCAAGTTCACAGTTAAAAGCTCATGTGCTCGTGCTTGATTAATTATGCACGAGCATTTACAGTTTCGTGGTAATACATATTATGGAAGCATGGTATAATGCGCATTAAAAATGCGTTTAACATTTACTAGAGCTGTAGCTGGAGAAGACAAATTTTATGGAGAAGGAATACGATACAAAAAATGTTGAACCGTGGTAGAAAAGTGAATTATAATCTCAGCACATAGACGAGAGAATAAGGACTAGAAAAGAGAGAGCGAAAGAGACGGCTTTTCACACATTTTGTCCTCACAAATCATAGCAAACAATAAAATGCAGACAAAGAAGATCCACGACTTCATCGTGACCAATTCCACTGGAAATGTACAGCAACATTAACCCATTAAGGAGGCTGAAGCAACTAAATGGCTCTCCAGAAACCAAAGCCTCATTCTGAAGACACACATTGTGATTCAAATTAGGTATTTCAATGTGATCTTGGTTGTACTCAAAAGTAATTTTTAGAAATCCATAAATGATATGAAGTCAATTTTTATTCAACCTATTCTGTGTACATATTTTCACAAACAATTTAAGATTTTTCGTTGGTGGTTTCTTTTCTTCTATATTAAATAGCCCCTAAAAGAAAAATTAATTCTAACGTATATTCCTTTCCTAAAACATACAATAGCTCTATGAGTTATCATCCTTCTCCGCTTGGTTTAAGATGCGAATCAGTTTTAGAATTTTAAACACCTGCTGTCATTTAATGCTTAATTACAATGTCAAGTAACTCATCAGGTCACATCTATCAATAATGAGTCCAAATCACAATATAGATTATCCCACAACCCAAGCAAGATACAAATGAGAGTGCTGACCATGGAAAAAAAGAGACATCTTTAATAATCATTAATATCAGAAAGTCCAGGTGTACAGAATGGTATACGGCTAATAATATGTAAATAATTCCAAAGCTGAATGAATGAGCTGCAAATTTTATGAAAAAAATTATTTAAGATACCTTTCATTTTAAAAAAATGTGTACCAAATACGAAAGTGTAAATACATATCGCAAGCCTGCCCAAATTTTTCATACCTGGCAACTACAGAGAAGTAAACACTGTCCTTTGAAACTAAAAATAAATTTTGACATACAATGATGCTTCAACCTGGATTAACTCTGTGCAGAAATATAGAATGCAACTGGTGAAAAATAACTAACTATATTCAGTTCAGTTCACTAACTAAAACGATTGGTGGTTCTTTCCTTCAATGGAAACAGGTATCATGTACAGAAAATCACATCCAATAGGCTCTAAAGCCTCACTTCAGACAAAGAACCTAGCAAATATTTCACCTCTTGACTAAAAATCGTATTATGGTTCCAACTTTGATCTTGTGTTTCTTGTGATGTCGGCTAACAAACACTTCCTTTCCATGTTTCTGCAGCAAAATGAAAATATACAAACTCAATAATATTGCATTATCCAAAACATTATGTTAGCTAATACAGGATTGGTAAGGACAAGAGACTCACAACTTTATACTTAAATTCATCACGAATGTCTTCATCTGCCATAACAGCAGATGAAAAACCAAGAATCACAGCATGAATCGACTGTCTACTAATTTTAACTACCTCTCCTTCTGCAAAAAAAGACAAGTGAAAAGAAGAGAGTATCAACAAACTCATCCAATTTACATAGTCTTAATCCTTATTTCATTAAAATTATTCCACCATCCATCAAAATATTCAAAATTTACATTAGCGTGAAACTACCTAAAAGCTTATTAGGCTTGGGACTGAAAAGCAACAATTTTGCTTTTAACCTCACACCAAGATATGGATGAATTCCGGGAAGAATCTTTGCCAAATTACTCCGCACATTTGGATCATATGCCAATACAACACCATCAAACGTCTCATTGTATCTATAAGGACAGGGAACAGATTCAAACAAACAAAACACTCAGATTCAAATATTAATACAAAAGGAAACAAATACAGACATCAGTTTTGATGAGAAGTGCCTTACTTTTAGGATTTCTGTTTGGTATATTTCTGTTAGAATAAATCTCTTAATATTAGAGCTGTTATTGTTTAGTTGACTATTTCTTTGTTTCATGTACCACGTAGCATTAGTTGGGCTANACTGGAATTTATATTATTGGATTATATAATAATAAGAAGCAGCTCGAGCAAGCACCTAAAGCTCACCTACTCTCGCAGCACTATAATCTCTATCTGAATTGTATCACTCACACCACCTACTCACAAATATATATATGGGAGGCTGAAGTCTGTTAATCAACCATGGCAATGAAGAAAGCATTGCCTTTAAAGACTCTAGATTATTCCCTCCAGTCGGGTGAGAATAAGAATCCAAAAATTGGAAAACAAATAATAAAAGGAAACGATCTAGCGCATAGGAGAAGGGGTACTTGAAAAATTACGTGAAGAGGAGAGAGCTTAGCTCACGGAGGATAGAATCGTTGACGCAATTGGCAATAGATGGGTGTAGATACACCACCAAATTCGCTTAGCATTCTTTCAATCCCTCCATCGGAATAATTTTAATTGCACAATTAGATGTTAGGGTTTTTGTGTTTAGGAGATGAAATTGTGAAAACCATCAAAAACCCTAATTTGGCTATGCTGGACGGCAGAATGAAATGCGATCCTTTTTTGATATTGGGCTAAAGCCCATTAAATGCACTGATGTACAAATCTCCAGATTTGGGCCGTTTGGCTTTCATTTGGTATGGTCCACTCACGACTCAAAATTTTATCTTTTCAATCTCCCAAAAAGATATATTTTAGGGAAAAATTCAGTTTTCCTACTTTATCTTTACCATATTTCAAAAATAACAAAACAACTTTTACATTTCAAAAATCAGAAATTTTGAC